TGAAAACCATTCTAGGGCAGTACCAGAGATCCCCACCCAGTGCCTCTAGCCTGTCTAACATGATGTTGTGATCAATGGTGTCAAAAGCAGCGCTAAGGTCCAGGAGTACCAGGACTGAGCACATGCCTTCATCAGCAGACATTAAAAGGTCATTGGTGACTCTAAGCAGGGCAGTCTCAGTGCTGTGGTACTTCCTGAAACCAGATTAAAACTTTTCAAATTTGTTATTTTCCAGTACAGTGAGCAGCTGTTTGGACACAATTCTTTCTAGAATCTTTGCAAGAAAAGGCAGTTTTGAAATTGGTCTAAAATGATGTGGGAGGGAGGATCTAAAACAGGTTTTTTTTAAAAGTGGGTTCACTCAAGTTGTTTTAAAATAATCAGGGACACAACTAGTAGATAGGGAGCTGTTGAAAACAGAGATCAAATGGGGCCCAACAGAATCTATTACTTTCAGTAAAAACTACTGTTTTTAAAAGCTCAGACAAGTCGATGGGATAAAACTGGTTAAAACTCTCTTGTTGCTGGTGAGGGATCTCTGAGTAAGAGGCCGCGGGGGTAATAGAGGCTCTGATTGACACCACCTTATTGGTAAGATAAAAACAATTCAGTCATGATTACTTCCAGCTGAGGCATAAGGAGGGGTTGGGTTTACCAGCTGATCCACAGTCTTAAACAGAAACCTGGGATTGTGTTTATGTGTAGTAATGAGTTCAGAAAAATAGTGTGTTCTCACATCCTTAACCATGTTATTGTAGTTAATTAATAAATCCTTCAGACTGAGGTAATGGACTTGGAGACTGGATTTTTTCCATCTGCGCTTTGCTTTCCTGCATTCCCTTTTTAGGCTGCGAATGCTGTCATTTATCCAGGGTTGCTTACTAGTTTTAGACGTAGGCCTAACCTTTAGAGGAGCAGTAATATTTAGTGACGACAAGCAGATATGATTGAAGTGATCGACCAGATTGTTGGTGTTGGAATCAGACAGGTGTTGGCTTTGGCTCTGAAAGAATGCGCAAAACTTTGAAACACTCTGTTCATTAAAGATGCGAGAACACACGGAGCTTGGTGAGGCGGCATGAGTAACAGGCGAATCGCAGCTAAAAACAATACATCTGTGGTCAGATATGGTCATGTCCTTTAATTCCACCGAGGAAATGCTGACACCCAGGGTGAAAACCAAGTCCAGTGTATGACCACGGTTATGTGTTTGCCCTTTGACATGTTGTTTGAAGTTAAAAGAAGTGGCCATGTTTAAAAAGTCAGTTGCATTAACATTGGTGGGGTCATCAACATGAATATTAAAATCTCCACAAAGAACAATTCTGTCATAATTTAAAACCAGAGAACATAAAAATTCAGGAAGTTCTGATAAAAATCCTCCAGGCGGTTTTGGGGGGCGATAAATTATAACAAATATGATAGGTTGCAGCCCTCCAAGTTTAAGAGTGAGAACTTCAAAGGAGTTAAATTCATCACAGCGTACTTGATGACATTTTAAATATTTCCTATACACGCTCACTAGCCCACCACCACGACCACTGACCCTTGGTTGACTAAAACAATCATATTGAGGCGGACACAGTTCAGCTAGCTGGCTATAGTCATTCATTTGCAACCAGGATTCAGTTAAAAACATAAAATCTAGATTTGCAGACAAGATAAAAGTCTTACTTGACAGAGATCTCACATTGAAGAGAGCCATTTTAAATGTGTTTGTTCTGGGTGCTGGAGTTGGTGCAGTTGTCCTAAGAGATTACTAATATTTCTGTGTGGGATGTGCACATTTCGGTTTCGGTAGTAGAATACATTATAAAACACTTTAAGCCAAGGTCAAGTCTCAAATCCTCATTTTTATGACTTTTAATTTTAATAACAATGGATCAATTGACAATGAAATAGGTAACTCTTAGTGATAAAACCACTAAGAATTTCCACCCAGCTCTATGGAAATGGCAGGGCAGACAGCGAAATTTGGTGAGCATAGCCAAGAATGTATCGGCTAAAGAGCCAAATATTTCCTTTACCAAAAAAAAACTAATAGGTAGCCAGAAACATGGCTCCAAATGAACAAATATCTGCTATAAAAATTGGCAACTTTTTGTGTTGTTAGAATGTTTTTATCAGTTTTCTGTTAACCAAGCTGGCCTTTATACTGTCTGATGGTAATTTGTTGCTAAAGGCATACAACATTCTAAGTAACTGAGAGTTTACTGTTTACATTTTACTCTTTTTACTATTGAGACTGGAGATGGTTGTAATAAAGGAACAGTTGTACAGCACCACCGCCAAAAAGGGAAGATGTATAAGTGATGTGATCAGTTTCATGTATGACCACTTCCTTCCTGACCTTGCATGTGAAATTCAATAGCTGTGTAAAGAAGTATGCATATTTCACAGCCAAAACACTCCTTTTCAGGAAAGAAAGCAGCCAAATAGTTTGGACCAAGTCTATATTTTGTTTAGTACTGTTGCTGTTGGAGTTAGAATTATGTTACTTGTATTAGATTAGAGAGTAGTCTCTTAGGTACAATGTAAGGCATTTTATCCATGCTAATTTGAAACCACCATGCAGCTATTTACTGTAAACAACAGGGGTGGGGATGGTTGCAGGCATGTGCACACATAGACTTGAGCACCTGCCCTTTTTTTTTCCTTAAGAGAAGGTTCCCTTTTTCTGGGGTGCTTTTTTAAATAAATACACATATTTTCGCACATCTTCCCTGTCAAACAAATATATTTATTAAATAAAAAATGAAAATATCAGGTCAGAAGATGAGACTTTGTGGAGTTCCGATGCCCGCCCGCCCGCCCTCCCTCCCTCCCTCTCTCTCTGGTATCAGTACAATTTCTCAAAATATTGCCCTCTTATGCTTCTATATTTATCACATTTCAGGAGAAAATGTGTCTCTATCTCCACCTAACCTGTCATACAGTGCTCACATACTCTGTTCTTTTGGTAACCTGGACTTTTTGTCTCCTTTTTTCAGTTGGGTGTGGTCACTGAGTCTGCACTTGGTAAGAAGCTGCCTCTGCTTGATATCTCTGACAGTAGAGAAATATTCAGCCATTTCATAGTTTGTGTTTAAGGCTAGATAACATTCTAGTTTGTGATGGGTTTTTGTCTCCTCCTCCCAATGTTCCAAATGAGTATTAATGCTTTGAGTGATCATTTGGTTTACTCTTTAATTGGTGTTTGTAAAGCTGTCCTGGCTTGAGAAAGGTGTGCGTGACATGTTGCAGGATTTGTTAGTCTCAGGACTAGCTGGCGTAAGAGATTCTTTTATGGGTTCGGTGCTTGGGTTTTAAGTGCCTTGAATTGGAGGGACTCTTTGGGACTTGATCTGAGGTGCATCAGAAAGTTTAGTGCTCTTTGTTGGGTATTTGTAGGAGACTTTCTTTGAATGTGTACGATGTTTCTGCAGAATTCTGCATGTTGGGTCTCAATGCGATGCTTCTGTGTGTTGTCCCATGTGTTGTAGTTTTGATGACTGAGTGGACCCAAAACTTCACTACACACAATATTATATATAAGAACATTTTTCAGTGTGCTTTTCAGGAAATGTCTGTGCACGTCCCTGGATGGTCAGGATCTCAGCTTTCCTGCTCTTGCCCACAGTTACCAGCTCATATGATCTCTTAAAATCACTGGGTGCTACCGCCGACTGGTGGTATGTAGGCTATATTGCCTTTTGAGGCACACAGACAAATCTCCACACACATTTTCAGATCTCTGCCACGACAAAAGTGCAGCCAAATTCACATGTAAAAAGACTAAGAGGGCTGCCTGACTTGCAACTGTATTTCCAGCTGTTGGAGCAAAAAATATTTAGACTCTTCAGCCATTAATAATACAGATTTGTATATAAAATCACAGATCTATGTATGCATTTAGAGATTACACATTTATATGTCTGATTATGCACACACGGATTGAGATACAGTTACACAACTCTTTTTTCCAATCAAATGATCTAATTTGGGTGCCTGTCTGCTCTGATTGGCTTTTGCAGCTGCACCACGATCCTACTCAGTGTAACCATTCACATCATGAGTGATGATAGAAATAATTATTTAGTGGTAAGTATCTGAAGCTTCATACACATTTTCACAATTTAAACTGAGATTACACATTATGTGCAATAAAGATGTTAGTGGAAGTGTTCTAACAACTTGACAGCTCTCTGGTGTGCAGAGGTACAGTGTTAGTCTATTTAAAAAAAAAAATCTTCCACTCGCAAAAAGGACATTCCCCTTTTGCTGAGGGTGACTGATGGTGTGATATATTTGAATGTGTTTATTATAAGTTGGCTGGTTCATCACACAAAGTAAGCTAGTGAATATATGTGCTTACTATAAAACATAATACACCGCCTCGTGATGCCACAAAACATTAAAATCACCCCAATAATTAACTGGAACTCAGATAATTCAAAATATACTTTACTTAACAGAGCATTAAAGAAATGATTATAACCATTTACATAAAACAATTAATATAATAATAATAATACGGAAACCATGTATTTATAAGTAATTCTTCCTTTTAAACTGCATAGAACAAATATAAATATACAGATTTATACAGGCAATTAATATTAGAAATACAGTTATGACATTTACAGTATAAAGTTTAAAATATTACTTTTTTTATTTTGTTAAACTTTATTTGTAATTTTCGCCGCAGACACACACCTATGGATTAATAGAAATAGAAGGTTGAAGATCTGATGAGTTTGCTGGAGCAGCTTTCTGAGCTGTGCAGGAATAGCTTCATTTCAGTGGAGGTAAACCAGAGGGTTGAGAGCACTGTTCAGACACACAAGTCCACGACTTATCTGATGAGCAATATAGATTCTATTAAACCATTCATGGCAAATCCCTTGTTTGGACAGAACTCTTACCAAGAGGTTCAGGTTCTTGAATACATAATGAGGAATGTAACAAACAGAAAAGAGAAGAATCAAGATGAACAACAATTTCAAACTTCTCTGTTTCAGTACCTTGTCAGTGGTATTTGTGCGGCAGAGAACGACAATCACATGTCCATAGCAGCCCAGTGTGATGAGGAGTGGGATGCAAAACCCAGTGAGTGTCCATCCAAAGCTGTATTTCAGGTAATCCTCAACATGTCTCTTATTTGTGGTATCATAACATTCTCCAAAGATGTTCCCAGATTTTTTGGGGTAAAACATGTCTGGAAGACTTTGAATGCTCACCAACAGCCAAACCATGACAGAGATAGCTACAGAGTGGGTGACAGTTATTCTTCCCATCACTCTCATTGGATGGACAATGGACAGGTACCTGTACACACTTATACAAGTAAGAAACCCGATGCTGCCGTAAAAGTTCAGGTTGAAGCAGAATCTTGTTATCTTGCAGAATGTATCTCCAAAGATCCATTCGCTCTTCATATAGTAGTACACGATCAGAAATGGGAGTGTGAGCAGATACAAAATATCTGCAAGTCCGAGGTTGAGAACAAAAACATTGATGCTCTTTAGCTTCTTCCAGTTGTGCAGCAAAGACTTCAATCCCCATCCATTAGCTACCAGACCAATGATGAATACTAGGATGTAAACAGGAGGCAGGAAGCTGTGTTCAAAGTCAAAATTGACTGAAGGACAAGAGGAGTTGTTCATTCTGTCTCCAGAGCATCAAATAGTGTAAAGCAAGGATGCTTTAGTGCCTAGAATGGCTGAAGGAACTGAGGCAATATGTCTTTAAATGTTGCTTCCTGGCAAACGTTGTTATTCATAGAGTCTTGCAGTAGAACTTAACTCAAAATGTAGATGTGGTCGCTGAATGTGGGTAGATACAATGACCTCACAGCATGAAATCATAGGCCACCTACCCAACCAGTCTGGTCAATGCTTTGCACTTTTAAAAGACACTAACAAAATTTCAGGCCAGGTCAAGTCTCAAATCTTTTTATGACTTATAGTTATAACAATGGATCTACTGACTAAGGGGCCACTCTTAATGATGAAACCACCAGCAAATGTAAATGCTCTGTATTTGTATTGTGCCTTTGTAGTCTGTGCGACCACTCAAAGCGCTTTTACACTACATCGCATTCACCCTTTCACACACATTCACAGTTTCATGTATGACTACTTCCTTCCTCACCTTGCATGTGAAATTCCATAGATGTATGAAGAAGTATGCATATTTCACACATATTTTTTTGGAAAGAGAGGAGCAAATTTTTTTTACCAAGTCTACATTTTTTTAGTACTGATACTGTTGGAGTTAGAATTATGTAACTTGTATTAGATTAGAGATTTATTTACAATGTAAGGCATTTCATCTATGCTAATTAGAGACCACCATGCTGCTGAGGTGAGGCAGGTAAAGACAGTTAGGTCTGTTTCCAGTGAATAATCTATCTGCATGTGACATTGAGCAGAAGCTGCACGAAATTACAAAATCTCAGAACAAAATTAAAACTTCACAGCAGTGGTAAGTAAATAGCAGCCTGTTGGACAAATCTGGCGAAAGCTGACATTTTCCCTCTGTATGCATTTAGAGATTACACATTTACATGTCTGATTATGCACACACAGATTGAGATACAGTTACACAGCTCTCTACTCACATTTGTAAATAGTTCTGCTAAACAATCAATGAACTCATTTGGGGGCCTGTCTGCTCTGATTGGCATTTTGTTGCTGCACCACAATCCTGCTCACTCAGAAATATTATCATACAGTAATCTCCAATATTAAAAGAATTATATCCCATCAGTGCAACCATTTACATTATGAGAGATGATAGAAATAATTATTCAATGGTCCTAAGTATCCAAAGCTTTGTACAGATTTTCACAATTTAAACTGAGATTACATTATGTGTAATAAAAATGTTAGTAAAGGTGCTCTAACAACTTGACAGCTGTCTTGTGTGCAACACTTGCAAAAACGACGATTTTGATTATGACTTGAGTTAAACCTCTAATTAATGGACTTTGTTACAGACTGAATCAATGATGAAAATTAAACAGCGTGGCTGACTCTGTATGAGGGAGGATGCAGAAACTTTTCTGTTTGTGTTAGCAGTGCATCCTGTTTATAAACACACTCACGTTATCAACTTCCTGTTTTAACACGATAACGATCATGCATAGTACTGACCCCCCCACCACCAGTGTTGAGCAAGTTACTCAGAAATTGTAATATATTAGGGGAGACCGAGTATGGTTGTAACACTTTTTGCTTCAGCAACTGTAACTCACTGAATTTTGCAGCTAGAGTTCTCAAACTTTTATACAAAGCACCCACATTTGTTCGCTACAAATGGCACCAATTTAACCCTCTACAAGAATGTCATAGACTTCGTGAGTTGATGTCAAATACATTGTGTTCCCTTGTTACAACCTACCCCAATAGCGGGGTAGGTTGTAACACATGCTGGGGTAGGTTGTAACAATAAGACAAAAGAAGCAAAAATAGATGCCACACTATATGATAAGCTTCAAAAACAGGTAGTGATATAAAAGAACCATTTTTCCCTCTCACTGTAACAGATTTAGTCTGATGACTCGTGCTTGTACAGTATGTGTATGTAAATTTATCTATAGAATAAATTTACTTAAAAGTATACTTAATGAATACTTCTACAATGGACCTAATTAAAGAACATTTCTGTACATCCTTAGGTCTAACAAAAGAGGTGTGTGTCAATGTGTGTGTCAATGTGTGTATATTCTTATTTAGAATCACAGTCGGTGCTTGAAGTGGTCCGGTACTCACCGGTACACAGTACCAGCACTTCTATATTTTACTCTTTGGCGTACCTGGACTTTTTCTCGCGCACACCGGCACTTCTCACAAGCTACCCATACGCTTATCTGCCTTCTCCACCGGCGGAGACAGAGTATGGAAAAGATGGAGTGTCGATAGACATGCCAACCTGTGAACAGCATGTGAATGGGAAGTACTGGTCACAGTGCTGACAAATGGATGCTGGTAACCCTGGAGTGCAGGCTGGGGGGGGAGGCAGACTGCAAAGGGCACTCTGTAAAATATTAAAATCAAGAAAGTCCCTAGTTGAATGTAAAGGGGATGGTTTTAAGACTTTTTAAGGAAGTGTTACAACCCACCCCACCCCTGTCAACCAATGTTTAACTAGCCGTATTAGTTTATTGGTTTGAAATAAGAAAGGAAAAAATGCATCACACGTTGCCTAACAAACTACATTTCAATCTAATATAAGTCAAACAATTCTGCAATATTATAGATACTAAACAAAATATAGTCTTGGTCAAAAAATTTACTTTCATACCTCAAAATCAGTTTTTTCTATATATATTTTGAATGTAGGGGAGACCGGGTATGGTTCTAACATGGGGAGAGTTGTAACAACACGAATTCCACCAAATAGAGATAAGATAGGAGCTAGGTGATCATTTCAGTATTTACCTACTTCCTCCCCAATCAGGCATGGTGGTTATCAAGTCTGGAAACAGGAATATTCAGAATATATAGAGGAAAAACTGATTTTGAGGTAAAGTAATTTTTTTGACCAAGACTATTTTTTGTTTATAATCTATACTATTGCAGAAAGAATTGTTTGACTTACACTCAGGCAACATGTGATGCATTTTTTCCTTTCTAATTTCAAAGCACTATGGTAATACAGCTAGCTCAACATTGGCACTTTTAAGTAAGTTTATTCTATAGATAAATTTACATACACATACTGTACATGCACGTGCTGTTACAGACAGAGAGAAACATTGTTCTTTGATATCACTACCTGTTTCGGAAGCTTATAAGTGTGGCATCTATTTTTGATTCTTTTGTGTGATTGTTACAACCTACCCCAGCATGTGTTACAACCTACCCCGCAATTGGGGTAGGTTGTAACAAGGGAACACAATGCATTTGACATCAACTCACGAGGTCTGTGACATTCTTGTGGAAGATTGAATAGGTGCCATTTGTGGTGAACAAATGTGGGTACTTTGTATAAAAGTTTGAGAACTCTAGCAAAAAAAAATCTGTGAGTTATAGTTACTGAAGCAAAAAGTGTTACAACCATACTTGGTCTCCGCTACCTATTTCCAGACTTGATAACCACCATGCCTGATCAGGGAGGAAGTAGTTAAATACTGAAATGATCACTTAACTCCTACCTTATCTCTAATTGGTGGAATTGGTGTTGTTACAACTCTCCCCATGTTGCAACCATACCCAGTCTCCCCTACTTAAGTAATACTATTACTTTACTTATTACTGAGTGATAAAAGTAACTAGTTACATTACTAGTTACATTACTATATTACTTTCCAGTGTTTCCCACAGAATGACAGCGCGGGAGGAGACAGTCGTGGATTTACGTCAAAGATGGTGCGAGGAATGCAGCGTTACTTTCCTTTGTAACTAGTAGCCTAATAACATTACTGTTTTAGAAAAGTAATTAGTTACACTACTAGTTACTGGGGAAAGTAATATTAATACAGTAATGTTACTGCCCAACACTGCCCACCACTAAACATGCTTATATTCTCTAAATAAAAGTGAAGAGACATTTTCAGAATATTTTAAGTACATTTTATTTTTTCATCTGAGATTTTTTGAGTATGTTAACAGCAATATAACTACAGCATAGGCATTTACCAATAAATGTGTTATAGTGGCAGATGATGCAACACCATTGTTCAATTTCATTCGTACATCCAATCATTTACACCTGGGTGGTTTGACTTGTGGACAGTTGTGTGACAGTTTGACGAGCTTGCTGGAGGAGTCGTCTGAACTGAGCAGGAATATGTTCATTTCCATGGAGGTAAACCAGAGGGTTGAGAGCACTGTTCAGACACACAAGGCCACGACTTATCTGATGAGCAATATAGACTCTATTAAACCATTCATAGCATATTCCCTGTTTGGACAGAACTCTTACCAAGAGGTTCAGGTTCTTGAATACATGATGGGGAATGTAACAAACAGAGAAGAGAAGAATCAAGATGAACAACAATTTCAAACTTCTCTGTTTCAGTACCTTGTCAGTGGAATTTGTGCGGCAGAGAACGACAATCACATGTCCATAACAGCCCAGTGTGATGAGGAGTGGGATGCAAAACCCAGTGAGTGTCCGTCCAAAGCTGTATTTCAGGTAATCCTCAACATGGCTCTTATTTGTTGTATCGTAACATTCTCCAAAGATGTTCCCAGATGTTTTGGGGTAGAACATGTCTGGAAGACTTTGAATGCTCACCAATAGCCAAACCATGACTGAGATAGCCACAGAATGAGTCAGAGATAATCTTCCCATCACTCTTATTGGATGGACAATGGCCAGGTACCTGTACACACTTATACAAGTAAGAAACCCGATGCTGCCATATAAATTCAGGTTGAAGCAGAATCTTGTTATCTTGCAGAATGCATCTCCAAAGATCCATTCGCTCTTCATATAGTAGTACACGATCAGAAATGGGAGTGTGAGCAGATACAAAATATCTGCAAGTCCGAGGTTGAGAACAAAAACATTGATGATCTTTAGCTTCTTCCAGTTGTGCAGCAAAGACTTCAATCCCCATCCATTAGCTACCAGACCAATGATGAATACTAGGATGTAAACAGGAGGCAGGAAGCTGTGTTCAAAGTCAAAATTGACTGAAGGACAAGAGGAGTTCTTCATTCTGTCTCCTGAAAAGCATCAAATAGTGTAAAGCAAGGATGCTTTATTGCCTAGAATGGTTGAAGTAACTGAGGCAGTGTGTCTTTAAATGTTGCTTCCTGGCAAACGTTGTTATTCATAGAATCTTGGGGTGGAACTGAACTAAAAATTTTTATGTGGTCACCGAATGTGGGTAGATGCAAAGATCTCCCAGCATGCAATCATAATTCATCTATTGCACCAGTTTGGTCAGTATACCAAAATTTCAGCCTAGGTCCAGTCTCAAATCTTTTTATGACTTATAGTTATAACAATGTATCTACTGACGAAGGGGCCACTCTTAATGATGAAACCACAGACATTTTCCACCCAGCTGTATAGGCAGAGCAGACGGCTAAATAAGAAAACATGCAATGCAATTGAAATGTAGAAGAAACAAATGCATTGTCCAAAAGTTGATTACTGCATTATATTCCATTATATTTCTATACTTTGAATTGTCACCTGCCACCTTTATTTTCTCTTTATATAAATAAATAAATTTCCTCCATAAATTGGTGCAAAAAATGTCTACAGAATGCAGGAAATTAAGTGTTTAATGCTCAAAGTGTCACGATCCTGTGCTGAGTGTTTTTGGGTTTTGATTCTGAGGGTTTGGTTTTTTATCTGAATGTTTGTGCGTTCGTTTAGTTCTGAGTTTATTCATTTATCAGTTTGGTATCTGTTATTTAGTCTGTGTTTTGGTTCCATGTCTTAGTTCCCAGTCCGGTGTTAATGTCTTTGTATTTACTCCTGGTCCGTGTACTTCAGTGTTTATTTTGATCTGTTCAGTATCTGTCTTGTTGTCCTTTGTCTAGTATCTGTTATTTAGTCTGTTGTGTTTGGGTATTTCCCTTATTTGCTGTTCTGTTCCATGTTTATGGTTGTCCTATTCGCAGTCGGTTCCGTCTCTGTTCCCTACTCCTGTCAGTCTGTTATCATGTTTCCTGTTTTGAGGTTTGGCTCCTGGTCTTGTATTCTCGGTTAGCTCTGCATCTTAGCTCCTAGTTCTGTCTCAGTTCATGTCTTAGTGTTTACTTTTGGTCTGTGTAATGTTGCCCTTGTCTGCTCTGTGTTCTCTTTAATCCCAGCTTCAGTCTGTTTTTCATCGTTTGTTGTAGTTCTTGGTGATCTGTCTGCTTGTGTCTTTATTAGTTTATATTTATTCCTCTGATCTGTTATGTGTTCAGTAACCTGTCATGTCTGTGCCTTCCAGTATCCCTCTGCCTGGCTGTCTCTCTGTTCTCCCCTCTGCTCTTTCCCTGCCTGCCTGTGTCTTATTAGTCTCATGTCTGTCACCTGTGTTGCTCCCGCCCTGCTCGTTAATCCGTGTGTGTGTATATATACCTGGTGTTTGTCCGGTCATTGTGGTTCCAGTGTTCTGCAGTATGTTGTCCTGTTTGCTTGCCTTGCTCGTCTTGTCACCCTGTTGTTTTGGACTCTGTTTTATCAGCCACTCTGCCCGTAAGTGTGCTCGCTTTCTGTTTGTCTGAATAAACCTTAGGAACTGTACCTGCACTATCTGTGTCCTGCACTTGGGTCCTAGACCAATTCAGAGGAGAAATACACAGGAATTTGTGACTGGTTTGTATTTTTTAAATGGCAAAAAAGTACAGCATAGAAGATATGCTGATTATGGATGGAGTGACATGGAGGAGTTAGGGGAAGACTATCATGCTGCTGACGATAAAAGGCTCAAAAGATGTTGTGTTCTACATGTTTTTTGTTGTTTTAAAAAAACATGATATGGGCAACACATTGCAATAAATTCTGAATGTATCAAATATGATAATAATATTTATTTGTAGAGCACTTTTCAAAAACAAGTTACAAAGTGCTTTAACAAGTGTAAAGACAATAATACCCAAGAGACAATAATACAAAAACAATACAAGATAAAAGCATGAAAACATTGAAAAGACTAAAATACACGTTTAAGATAAATATAAAATTAGTAAAATACAATAAAATAAAAGGGATAAAATAAAGTCAAATAAGATTGGGAAAGGCTCTCCTATAAAAGTATGTTTTAAGAAGGGACTTAAAAGAGTTCACTGACCGACCTGATTTCCTCGGGCAGGCTGTTCCAGAGCCTCGGGGCCCTGACAGCAAACGCTTTGTCCCCTTTAGTTTTCAGTCGAGACTCTGGAACAGACAACAGACCTCTGCCCGAGGATCTCAAGGTACGTGCTGGTGTGTATGGGACTATGTATTGGTGTGTATGTGATTTACTAGGGAACCAGCAGATGGCAGTATTAGTAGTGCTATCTGCTGGGAGCCAATGACCAGGATTTCTGTTTTGTCTGAGTTCAGTTGGAGGAAATTATTTGACATCCATTTTTTAACTTCACAAAGGCAGTTGTTAAGTGAACTCAGCATTCCAGGGTCTGTGGATCTGACGGGCAAGTATATTTGTGTGTCATCAGCATAAATATGAAAAGAAATGCCATGTTTTTGGATAATATGTCCAAGGGGAAGCCGATACAAGGAAAACAAAATGGGTCCTAAGACCGACCCCTGAGGCACACCGTATTTAACTGGACAGAACGAAGAGACATAGTTTTTTACAGACACGCAAAACTTCCTATTTGACAGGTAGGATGAAAACCATTCTAGGGCCGTACCAGAGATCCCCACCCAGTGCCTCAGTCTGTCTAACATGATGTTGTGATCAATGGTGTCAAAAGCAGCGCTAAGGTCCAGGAGTACCAGGACTGAGCACATGCCTTCATCAGCAGACATTAAAAGGTCATTGGTGACTCTAAGCAGGGCAGTCTCAGTGCTGTGGTACTTCCTGAAACCAGATTAAAACTTTTCAAATAATTTGTTATTTTCCAGTACAGTGAGCAGCTGTTTGGACACAATTCTTTCTAGAATCTTTGCAAGAAAAGGCAGTTTTGAAATTGGTCTAAAATTATGTGGGAGGGAGGATCTAAACCAGGTTTCTTTAAAAGTGGGTTCACGCAAGTTGTTTTAAAATAATCAGGGACACAACCAGTAGATAGGGAGCTGTTGAAAACAGAGATCAAATGGGGCCCAACAGAATCTATTACTTTCAGTAAAAACTTTGTAGGTAATACATCAAGTGGGCTGGAGGACACTCTAATTTGTGATACTGTTTTTAAAAGCTCAGACAAGTCGATGGGATAAAACTGGTTAAAACTCTCTTGTTGCTGGTGAGGGATCTCTGAGTAAGAGGCCGCGGGGGTAATAGAGGCTCTGATTGACACCACCTTATTGGTAAAATAAGAAAAACAATTCAGTCATGATTACTTCCAGCTGAGGCACAAGGAGGGGTTGGGTTTACCAGCTGATCCACAGTCTTAAACAGAAACCTGGGATTGTGTTTGTGTAGTAATGAGTTCAGAAAAATAGTGTGTTCTCGCATCCTTAACCATGTTATTGTAGTTAATTAATAAATCCTTCAGACTGAGGTAATGGACTTGGAGACTGGATTTTTTCCATCTGCGCTCTGCTTTCCTGCATTCCCTTTTTAGGCTGCGAATGCTGTCATTTATCCAGGGTTGCTTACTAGCTTTAGACGTAGGCCTAACCTTTAGAGGAGCAGTAATATTTAGTGACAACAAGCAGATTTGATTGAAGTGATTGACCAGATTGTTGGTGTTGGAATCAGACAGGTGTTGGCTTTGGCTCTGAAAGAATGCGCAAAACTTTTAAACACTTTGTTCATTAAAGATGCGAGAACACACGGAGCTTGGTGAGGCGGCATGAGTAACAGGCGAATCGCAGCTAAAAACAATACATCTGTGGTCAGATATGGTCATGTCCTCTAATTCCACCGAGGAAATGCTGACACCCAGGGTAAAAACCAAGTCCAGTGTATGACCACGGTTATGTGTTTGACCTTTGACATGTTGTTTGAAGTTAAAAGAAGTGGCCATGTTTAAAAAGTCAGTTGCATTAACATTGGTGGGGTCATCAACATGAATATTAAAATCTCCACAAAGAACAATTTTGTCATAATTTAAAACCAGAGAAGATAAAAATTCAGGAAGTTCTGATAAAAATCCTCCAGGCGGTTTTGGGGGACGATAAATTATAACAAATATGATAGGTTGCAGCCCTCCAAGTTTAAGAGTGAGAACTTCAAAGGAGTTAAATTCATCACAGCGTACTTGATGACATTTAAAATTTTTCCTATACACGCTCACTAGCCCACCACCACGACCACTGACCCTCGGTTGACTAAAACAATCATATTGAGGCGGACACAGTTCAGCTAGCAGGATTCAGTTAAAAACATAAAATCTAGATTTGCAGACAAGATAAAAGTCTTACTTGACAGAGATCTCACGTTGAAGAGAGCCATTTTAAATGAGTTTGTTCTGGGTGCTGGAGTTGTTGCAGTTGTCCTAATCCTTAAGAGATTACTACTATTTCTGTGTGGGATGTGCACATTTCGGTTTACTGGTCTATGCATGATGATGACAAGAATAGAAGTCTTTGGAACAGCACTGTGAGCAGACAGCTTTACATGCCAGCAGGTGGAGACAGTTCTTAGTGGCAGTGAGGCAGAGATCTGTTCAGTGAGCGGTGGTGTGTCCAGGTGTGCTGCATGAATGATTAGTCATTCACGTAAGTCATGTGTGGACCGCACCACATGCTGTATGTGAGCAGCTAACATTTCTGATCCCCGTTTGTTTGGGTGAAGTCTGTCTGTCTTAAAAAGAGACATTCTTAGCCAGAAAATATTAAAAACTCATACATACAAAGAGCTATTCATTTTTTTTTATTTGACTACATGATTTTCCATTAATCTACCATGTAAGAATGTAAATACAAGGCTGGTATAAATCCCAATAACAGTAACATGTAACACATCTCTATCACGTCTCTATGTGCAGACAGGCAGCAGACTTCCTGAACATTGTAAGGTGCTGAAATTAAGTCTGATAAATGTAGGCTACATGATGAATTACAGATAAATAATTGCTTATTTGACCAGAACACATTTGTGTCAACAAGAGTACTTTTATCCAAACATAAATGAAGCAAAGTATATCAGCTTGTCATGGTTAACAGTCACTCTTAAAGGGATCTCAGCTTTGCTGCTCATGCGCACAGTTACCAGCTCATGTGACCGAATTTTAAACTCTCTTAAAATCACTGGGTGCTACCGCCGACTGGTGCTATGTAGGCTGTACAGCTAGTGATGAACACAGACAAATCTCCACACACATTTAAAGATCTCATCCACAACAAAAGTGCCGCACAATTCACATAGCAAAATATTTAGACTTCTCAGACATTAATAATACAGATTTGTGGATACATTCAAAAATTTATGTACGCATTTAGAGATTATTTTACACATTTACATGTCTGATTATGCACACAGAGATTGAGATACAGTTACACAACTCGAACACAATTGGTTCTGCTACAACAATGGCCCAATACATTTTGACCAATCATTGAACTCATTTGGGGGCCTGTCTGCTCTGATTGGCATTTTGATGCTGCACCACGATCCTGCTCACTCAGAAATATTATCATACAGTAATCTCCAATATTAAAAGAATTATATCCCATCAGTGCAACTAATTTAGAGAGAGATGATATGAAATAATTATTCAATGGTCCTAAGTATCCAAAGCTTTATACAGATTTTCACAATTTAAACTGAGATTACATTATGTGTAATAAAAATGATAGTGGAAGTGCTCTAACAACTTGACAGCTGTCTTGCAAAAACGTTTTTATTCTGAGCTGAGGGTGACTGATTGATATATTTGAATGCGAGGGCAAAAACCGCTGTTCACGGAAATTAATATGCTAACTTTAGATAGTTAAGAGTAACAAACTGATATCCAACCAAGATTTTGATTATGACATGAGTCAAACCTCTAATTAATGGACTTTGTTACAGACTGAATCAATGATGAAAATTAAACAGCGTGGCTGACTCTGTATGAGGGAGGGTGCAGAAACTTTTCTGTTTGTGTTAGCAGTGCATCCTGTTTATAAACGCACTCACGTTATCAACTTCCTGTTTTAACACGATGCCGATCACGCATAGTGCTGACCCCCCCACCACTAAACATTCTATTCTCTAAAAAAGTGAACAGTGACATTTTCAGAATATTTTAAGTACATTTTATTTTTTCATCTAAGATTTTTTGAGTATGTTAACAGCAATATAACTACGGCATAGATTAAAACCTTGACCAATAAATGTGTTATAGTGGCAGATGATGCAACACCATTGTTCAATTTCATTCGTACATCCAATCATTTACACCGGGGGGGTTTGACTTGTGGACAGTCGTGTGACAGTTCGACGAGCTTGCTGGAGGAGTCGTCTGAACTGAGCGGGAATATGTTCTTTTCCATGGAGGTAAACCAGAGGGTTGAGAGCACTGTTCAGACACACAAGGCCACGACTTATCTCATGAGCAATGTAGACTCCATTAAACCATTCATAGCATATTCCCTGTTTGGACAGAACTCTTGCCAAGAGGTTCAGGTTCTTGAATACAAAATGAGGAATGTAACAAACAGAGAAGAGAAGAATCAAGATGAACAACAATTTCAAACTTCTCTGTTTCAGTACCTTGTCAGTGGAATTTGTGCGGCAGATAACAACAATCACATGTCCATAGCAGCCCAGTGTGATGAGGAGTGGGATGCAAAACCCAGTGAGTGTCCATCCAAAGCTGTATTTCAGGTAATCCTTAGCATTGTTGTTATTGGTGGTATCGTAACATTTCCCAGTGCTGTTTCCAAATGTTTTGGGGTAGAACATGTCAGGAGTGCTTTGAATGCTCACCAACAGCCAAACCATGACAGAGATAGCTACAGAGTGGGTGACAGTTATTCTTCCCATCACTCTCATTGGATGGACAATGGCCAGGTACCTGTACACACTTATACAAGTAAGAAACCCGATGCTGCCATATAAATTCAGGTTGAAGCAGAATCTTGTTATCTTGCAGAATGTAGCTCCAAAGATCCATTTACTCTTCTTAAAGTAGTACACCATCAGAAATGGGAGTGTGAGCAGATACAAAATATCTGCAAGTCCGAGGTTGAGAACAAAAACATTGACGATTCCTAGTTTCTTCCAGTTGTGCAGCAAAGACTTCAATCCCAATCCATTAGCTACCAGACCAATGATGAATACTAGGATGTAAACAGGAGGCAGGAATTTGCCTGTAAAGTCAAAATTGACTGAAGGACAAGATGTGTTATTCATTTTCTTCCAGACAGCAGTTAATACTTTTCCTGTCAGAGTGTGTTGGTCTACTGTCACTTAGAGACAGACACAGGGTTATTCAGAAAAGGCTTCCTGTGCTTGCTCTTGCCTCCACATTCTATGTTCTTGTTTTTGAAACCACAGTGTCAGTGCAGTGGGCTGATTAGTCACACAAAGGGAAAAAAATAACTTACTTACTTATCTTAAACAAGTCGAATAAAGATTTGCATCACGCAGTGGTTTTCAACAATCAATATATAAAATCTAAGCAAGTCAATATACAAATAAAAGGGGAAAAAATATGCATCACACATTGTTGCTGTTTTGTACAAATGTGTCTTAAGAAGTGAGACAAAAACAGAAACAGGCTATGCAAGCCTGAACTTCTCTGGTAGCTTGATTCAGAGCGTAGGGGGCCCAGACATCAAAGATCCTGTCTGCTCTGGTTTTTAGCCTAGACCTTGTAATGGTTAGCAACACCCAATCAGAGGAACTCAGTCTGCGCACTGACTCATAGTAGTCTATCTTAATCGCTATTACAACTATTTCCATACAGCTAAAGTTATAAGTTGTAGTAGTTACGTCTCAAATATGTATTGTTGTGAAGGCCCATTGTGCTTGATAGGTTATACATATAGTATCAGTACCAGTACTGCTCTGCTCTGTTGCAGTCAGTTAAGCTCATACAGTTAACAGTGCATCCTGTTTAACACATTCACACTATGAATTTCCTGTTTTAACATAATACCGATCATGCATAGTACTGAAACTCCCTACTATACATGGTTCTGCTCTCTAAAGAAGTGAACTGTGACATTTACAGATGTCAGATATTTTAAGTGAAATTTCTTTTTGTAGTCTGAGATTTTTTTTTACTTTAACAGAAAAACAACCACGACACAGATTAAAACCTTGACCGGGCACAATAAATGCTTTATGGTGGCAGATGATACAATACAATTGTTCAATTTCATTCGTACATCAGATAATTTACACCTGGGATATTTGAAATGTGGTGGTGGACAGCCGTGAGATAGTCTGACGAGCTTGCTGGAGTAGTCGTCTGAGCTGAGCAGAAATGCCTTCATTTCCATGGAGGTAAACCAGAGGGTTGAGAGCACTGTTCAGACACACAAGTCCACGACTTATCTGATGAGCAATGTAGACTCCATTAAACCATTCATGGCATATTCCCTGTTTGGACAGAACTCTTACCAAGAGGTTCAGGTTCTTGAATACATGATGGGGAATGTAACAAACAGAGAAGAGAAGAATCAAGATGAACAACAATTTCAAACTTCTCTGTTTCAGTACCTTGTCAATGGTACTTGTGCGGCAGAGAATGACGATCACATGTCCATAACAGCCCAGTGTGATGAGGAGTGGGATGCAAAACCCAGTGATTGCCCGTCCAAAGCTGAATTTCAGGTAATCCTCAACATGGCTCTTATCGGTGGTATCATAACATTTCCCAGTGTTGTTTCCAGATGCTTTGCTGAACAACATATCAGGAAGACTTTGAACGCTCACCAGCAGCCAACCATGACAGAGATAGCTACAGAGTGGGTGACAGTTATTCTTCCCATCACTCTCATTGGATGGACAATGGCCAGGTACCTGTACACACTTATACAGGTGAGGAACCCGATGCTCCCATATAAATTCAGGTTGAAGCAGAATCTTGTTATCTTGCAGAATGTAGCTCCAAAGATCCATTCGCTCTTCTTAAAGTAGTACACCACCAAAATTGGGAGTGTGAGCAGATACAAAATATCTGTAAGTCCAAGGTTGAGAACAAAAACATTGACGTTACCCAGTTTCTTCCAGTTGTGCAGCAAAGACTTCAATCCCAATCCATTAGCTACCAGACCAATGATGAATACTAGGATGTAAACAGGAGGCAGGAATTTGCCTGTAAAGTCAAGGCTGACACAAGAACTAGATGTTCTATTCATTTTCTTCTGGACAACAGTTAGTACAGTTCCTTCTGTCAGAGAGTGTGCTGGCCTTCTCTTTACTTAGAAACGGAAGCTAGGTAGTTCAGATCAGGCTTCCTGTGTCATGCTCTTGCCTCCACATTCTGTATTTGAATTACTGCACCTGTGAGAATCTGCAAAATTACATCAGTTGACTGATTCGTCACACAAAGTCATCTCAAATGAATCCATGCTGAGCCCAAGTAACAGCTTAGACTACAATTACAGGTTTGTATCTACATGGGCCTTACATGAAGATTTCCTTTCTTTTTCTGACTCCTCTGACAATACCTTATGAGTAATGGAAACTGAATCAAGTTTACCTCGAGTGTAGTAGCCTACGCTTCAAGCACCATTTCTGACATGGGTAACCTAGTACACATTTCAGATTTATGTGGTAGGGTTTACAAAACTGTAAGGTTTATCACTTCCTGTAGTAACTTGTGTGTAGCAGCTGCTTATCAGCTGATAGTATGCTTTTGATAATGTATTTTATCAGTAATATTACGACTGTTAGATAAAATCCTCTTGTACTATCCTAAACAGTTTACTGTGCCAACTAAGTCTGTGTGCTCTTTACAAAATACTTTATACTCACTTAATAAATGTTAGTGATGGCTTTATTTGTGGTTGTCAAATCATTAAGTAAAGCTTTATAAATCAGTGATAATCTCTTAATAATAGCAATACCAAAAGGATGTGTCAAACGCAGGCCACCTGAATATTGCTCTTCTGAATGTCTGTAATCTACAAATATGTGTATCATGTCTGTGTCTTCAGATTGAACTGAGTTATGATTCAGAGAGTAAAATTTTTTTATGCAAATTGCAGGAGTGTGTCACAAGCCCAAAAGTGTTGGTCTGACAATAAAGTGTTACACTGGAGTTTTGACCCCCCCCAGACTTTTTACCCTTCTCCATGCACCTTGGAACTAGGTAGGGGGGTGTGTGTGTGTGTGTGTGTGTGTGTGTGTGTGCGTGCTAAAGATATTACAAGGTTGATGATGCTTTATTGATGCTTGTATGTTGTTGCTCAAAATCCAAATGAGTAAACGTAAATGTCCTCAGTCTCCGCAGTATGTTCTTTTGTCCACTAGATGTCAGGATGTCTCACAAATGTCATCTGGTCTGACTGGAAAAGCCTCCAGCAGCCAAATGGTAAAATTGAAAAAGTTAATAGTAATACTACTACTCATTAATTTGGCTTTATTTTTCATGTGAAATACTGATGGTGCTGTGTATTTCAGTGTGCTTCAAACAAGCTTTTAGTAGCTCATCAGCAAAGGAAGAAGCGTACTGTGTAATAATTATTGATGAATGATAGTGATGAAGTGAAATTATGGGAACAGGTATGTACAAAGCCTGTGAATAATCTGAACAAATCTGTTAATTCTAGAATTTGAAAAAAATAAAAACACAAATCATTGAGTGAAAATGCAGGACATATGTAAAAAATTTCAACATGTTTCACTATATGTAAGACACATCTGTCCAGTATTTACAACAAAACAGAAAATGAAGAAATAAGTGCAATGTCATCTGACTACAAACACACAAACAAAACTGTACAAGTAAAAAGTTGCATTGCTTACGACAGGAAACAATATCTTTCAACACAAAGGCTGGGGTCATACTGTGACATACATTCCTATCAAACATATTTTTAAGTCATTGAAATTCGCTCTTAAAGACACATTGGCGTTTAACAGTGAAAATATGTCTCTAATGTTACGACCAAATTAACATCATGGCCAACTGTCCTCTATTAGTTCAGGTTAGATAAATCTGTTTGAATTATAAAAAAAAAAACAATCTTGGCACAGATACGGTTGTACATCTAAAATGTAATTGGCCCACTTGCCCACAGTTTCCATCCCAGTGTAAAAACATATTGGAATAACCTGTGATCCCAATCTAAATGTTAAGCTCATTCATAAGATCAGTTCAGTCCTGCTTTGTTTCCAACAAAGGAATATTGCAAGAATCAGTTTAGCAGCCTCAGCTAATTTTTACTGTTTTGATTGAAAACCATGCAGAAATGCTTTTTAACAACAACTTAAAAAAAATATATCACGCTACACTAGTTTTAGTTTCTCTTCATATAAGGCATTACATGACTAGGCACCTCTGTAATCTACTTAAAGGAGTTATTGTGCCCTCCAACCTCTAAAGGAAAAGTCTCAGAGTAGGCAAATCAGTGCACATCTTTCTTAAAACCCACATGTTTTCTTTTTTCAATAACTTTTACTTTGTGGGTTATACACTTACTTCCTCTTGTTTCATATACAGTGTATATATATGTATTATCTGTCCCTTCTATCCTTTAAAAAGTGCTCTACTGTAAATTAAGTTTTCTTGCTTGCTTTCTCTAAATTTGCAATGTAATTTTAATTCCTGGATAAGGTCAAAATCACCAGTATTATGGCTTCCCAATGTATAACAGTATAAAGGAGTTATGAATAAGTGCAGATTGAGATTGTATAAGTGTAAAGATCAATGTTCATCCCAACTCAATCACAGTTTTTATCTACAATAATCACTTTCTCTTTCAAGGTCCATTGGTTAGGGGATGCTTGGTGATGCATAAGGTTTCTCTCACTGTCCGGCCCACGAATCAGTCGGTGAAGTCTTCACTATTATGAATGAATCTGTGCTCATCAGGGCCTGTATCCCCACAGAGCAGGGTTACTGTAAGGTGAGTATGGGCAGTTGTTATGACAAACACATGAGTGAATCATCATCACAGCTCGCTGTAGCAGTCTACCGGTGGGGCATCGGAAGGTCACCTCAGCAGTGGTGGTTTGATAAGGCGTGCAGCAGCGAGAGTCAGTGCACTGTCCGCAGTACTGGAGCTGATAGGCACGAGTGCTGTAGCAGCCCTGGTGAATGAGCCGAATGGGACCTGGTGATGTGTAGCTGGCCTTGCACCACCTCTGCCTTCCCCTCTGGGAAAAAGCATGCAAAAACAAACACATGCAGAGGCAAGTCAGAAAAAAATGCCAGTAAGCACTGCGATGATTTGGGGGATTTGCAGGTCAAAAGATTCCAACGTCAATGCAAGGCTAGGTTTGAAAACTTTGAAAAGTGAAGTTTTTCAGGGTACATATATCCAACATTTCAGCAGTGGTATTTCATTGTGGAGTAGGTGCAAACTACATGTTAAAATATAGTTATTAAAACTACAGCTGTAAATTCAGTTTTCACCTAGATTAATCTAATTGCACTGACCTGCAAATTACCAAATCAGTGTTTTACGGGGAGTACAGTTTAAGTCAAGTAACTACATCTGAGCTGCAGAGATAATACCTGATCAGAAGTGACAATGACATGTTTTTCATTAATTCACAAACATGGCCCTTTGGGAGGGCAAGGAGGCTGGATGAAAATCATTTAACTACATCTAAGCATGGCAAGACTTGCTTTTGCAGTCAGTAGAACACCAGAGTTCATTATAAATATCACTCAGTTCTTGCCTTTTTTCATGGGTTAAATTAGAAATTTAAAGGTGCCTTGTGGAGTTTCCTTGTAAACAAACAAAAGTTATGTTTACATTAGTGTTTCTCACCAAAACGCATCGTGTGTGTCCTTCAGGTCAAACAAGGTGTGTTGAATGCATTTCCTTCATCATAAAACATTTGCAAAGCAAATATTTTAAATTGAATTGTACATTTTCACAGCCATGTTTGATTGCAAGATGCTTCATTGCTACCTTTCTTTGTGTGTTTCCACCAACAACCGGTTATCAGCGGAAAAACCAACGGCAAAAATGTGAATCACATTTCCTCTATACTCTGTTCACGTGTGCTCTAGAGAGTACACAATAAAACAAAGCAGACAAACTCTTAAAAAAATTGCTCCTTAGTGGTACTAGGAGTCAAAAACTCCACAGGGTAACTTTAAGACAGCTATGCGTCTGAGAAATCTTTGTAAAAGTCACTTTTGTTCTTTCTAATCACAATAAACCTTGTTATATGCAGACGGTTGCTGAAGTTTGAGATTTTTGTTTGAGATATTCTGTTTCCCTTTATTGTATTTGACGTATTGGCCAGAAAGGTTTTAAAGATAGCTATCTTCAAACTCAGCACATAAACGTTTTTTGTGATTTGGGTGAGTTAACCATTTAAAGCCGTGAATGGAACATAATAGGATATATGAAGAGACAGAATCTGATAAGACAGAGAAAGTACAAATCAGAAGGAATCATTATGTGATTAGAGCTTACCATGGGTTTCCTTGTGGCAGGCTGAACCATATGGCAAGGCCGCACTTTACAAAGTCGAGTTTCCATTTGCAGCTTGCAGGCTGGGTTCTGGTTGGAAACCCGTGTGGACACCCCAGCCCCACAGCTCTGGGAACAGGCACTCCACTGGGTGCTCTGCTCTTTACATGTAGAGGCAGGTGGGACTATTTTGTTTAGAGGATGATCCCTCAGGAGAACTGGCCACAACCTGGCGGGTCTCATGGCTACTGAAACCAAATAAAATGACATGAGTTCATGTTGCAGCATGCACACTAGCAGGTTTTAGCCTCACAGTTTGAGAACATCTGCACTAAACTAAACTAGATGCTGACTGGACTCATTCACCCCAGTGACTCACCTCCAGTGACTTTAATATCTCATCTCATTGTTTTTCGCTCACAAAAAACTTCCTCTTTGAATCAAATTAAATGCTTTGGACTTTAGTGAATATAAAAATCCAAAGCAACATTTTGTTCCTCCCAAAACTAACATTTATAAGTCATAATAATCAGCTGATCTTCAGAAAGGACATCGCCAATTTTGTATTTAAGAACAAAATGTTCTGTTGCTGCTCTCATCACGTTGTTTGGAATTCCAGATGTTTTTAAGAGTGGCTTCATTTCTCTAACACCCACTCTCACTTACACACTCACTCACTCGTACACTTTCCTTCTAATGGAGTTTCTACATGGTTTCATATGTTTAATTGTTACACAGCTGTGGTTGTTGTTATGAAACTATGAGACTTGGTGACTGAGGGGAAAAAATATGTTTTCACTTTTCCAGAGGAAGGTCGGTTATATTTGGACTTTGTGAGTTTTCTTTTGGCCAGACACACCTCAGTTAAATGCAAAAGTCCTCCAATAAAAACTTCCAGACATGACCACCAGTGACAAACATCATAGAAATGAAGTAAGGATTATGTTGCCATATGGACTGATCATCAATGAGCAACATTTGTAGGGAGAAATCCAATGATACTGTACGTGAAGATACATCTAGCACCAGCACCTTGACACTGGAAAATATGATGTAAATATCTAGCTCTGATGTCATTAAAGGAAGGGTTCAACATTTTGGGAAATGTATAGAGGTCAATGCGGAGCTCAACACCACTCTTATGTCTGTTCATTAAATATGAAGCTTCAACCATAATGTGGTTAGCATTAGCTTAGCATGGCACAAAGACCGGAAACGAACAAACAAATCATAATGTTATCATAATCATGTTAATTACTGAGCTTGAGGTGATAGTAGGCCTTTATGCTAAGCTAAGCTAACCAGCTGTTAGATGTAGCTTCATATTTTCCATAAAGACATTAGAGTGGTATCAATAGTCAAATCTAACCCGCAGTAAGAAAGCAAATAAGAGTATTTTAAAAAAAGAACTCTACCCTTAAAGTCTGCCATGAAGCTTCTAGTGAATTTCACTGCTGCTGTTAATAAGATAGCCTAACGTAAATTCAGGTCTTCGTAGGAGGATGTTTACGTGTACGTGTTTCAACCTTTAAAGGTCCATTTAACCCATCCATCCACCTGTAGAGTTTACCTGTTATAGCATCCTGAATGACTGTGTTCTCGAGGTTTTCACACACCCATTCCTTGCAGCATTTCCCCGGTAGCCGGATATGTTGTGGGTTGGGACAGTCTGGAGTGGGAAGACGGCCATGCAGAGGGCAAGCCGGCACACAGCTCACCCCTCCACCTCTGCAGTGGCAGTAAGTGTCACATGAGGGCTGAAACGACTGGCCCTCTTGGTAAGTGATGCCGTTAACTTCACAGCCAAGGTCCTCCTGACCTGTAAGAAACACACAGGACAGTCTTAACTTTCTCAACCACACCTGCAGCTTGGATTGATCTGGGAAACATAACGTAGAAGTCAAAGAGATTAAGATCAGGTTAGGTGAAGTTGGCGGGGACACAGTAGAGGAAAATGAGACAGAGCTGTAAAGACAAGCTGCTGTCCCTGCCTATGTAGTTTTATAAGAAAACAGGCCTCTCTACTGACAAACTGAGGAGTCTGGTTTTCAATCCACTAGTGTTGTCTCTGTAATCTATCATGATCAAAGGACAGTCATAGAGGAAATGAGTCAACAGCAGTCCTGGAATAGAAGTTGAAACGTTCTGGACTGCTGGCAGAGCACCGCAGCCCAGCTGGCCATCCCACTCTGCTGAGCAGACTTTAAACATTAACTCTGTTTGTCTCTCTCTTGACGATTGACTGAGACTGCATTTCCTAAACTCAGTCTTGCCCACACAGACATGGGCCTGGATGTTTGCTTGCTAGAACTTGACACTCACTAATACACTCCCCAGGGTCTCCGGGGAAGCTGGCGCTGTAGTCACACCGGAGTCCTCTCTGGCTGTCGCAGGGAAACATCTCAGTGCAGGGCTCACCTTGCTGCCGAGCACACACCTGGCAGCACCGGCAGCCATCCAGCACCAGTGGGACTCCTGAGGGGCACTGGGGGGCAGGTCCGGGGCAAAGGCAGGGACTGTCACAGAGCTGGCACAACACCTGCAGGGACAACACACATGAGAAAAGACTAGATCATTATTTTCATCTTCACCATCACCACCACAGTTATCATAATCATCATCTAAATGATTATCCTAATGACTATATTTTCACATAAGGAGTAATGAAAATATTATTGGTATTCTCAGAAAATGCACAAGGTATCCAACACTTTCAGGACAAACCACTGTTTTCAGTTACATGTCGCTGATGGAGCCAAAACATAGGCGAGATCTGGCCAAGGCTAGTTTCACCTCTCATTTCTATTGAGAAATTCATTTACTTAATTCAAAAATAGTCAATTAATTACAGAAACTGGCAACAGTTTTGATAACCATGTCTCATTATTTTGATTCCTTTTTACAAGCAAAATGCCAAAAATTCTTTAGTTCCTCCTCAAAGTGAGTATTTGCTCCTTATTTTTGTCTTATATGCTCATACACTGAATATATTTGTGATTTGGACTGTGTTAAGACGGACAAAACAAGTAACTGATAGTAAAGAAGTGAATTTTGATGCCCATTTTTAAAACTTTTTCTGACATTTGATAGGCCAAACAGCTAATCAATTAATCATAAAAGTAAAAGACAGATATTAAAAGTTAACAAGTTAAAATTGTTAGTTACAGCCCTAGTGGTCTTATCATAATTTGCATATCTTGCACACAGAGCTTATGTGACCTTATTTCTGTCCAAACAGGATGACTATAGTCACTCATTTAAAATCAAGGTAGACAAGAAGATATTCCTCTAAAGTAAATGAAACAAGTATAGTGTGTGAATAAATGATCACGGTGAGAATATAAACAGAATGTTTACAATATTTTTCAATCTTGCAGTAATAAAGTGAGCAAATCACAGGAAATCAGCTTCACTGTTTGAACGTCTCTGCCTACGCTCTGTCACACATACAGACACCATAATATCATCTAGTTCAGAACAAACTACTGTTAAGTAAGCAGGCCTCACCTGTGTAGCCACACACAGCAGTACAGCCAAAGCTATCACACAGTCACACAGCAGTCGGTCCATGGGGGCTTGTGTTGCTGATGGCGCTCAGTCTGCCTCACTAAGCTGTGTGGCGGTGTGGTGCGACCAGTGAAGCTGTTTGCTAACTGCTCATTCTAGCGCCTGCTGACATTTATAAAGTCTGGACTCTGATGTCACAGGCTGACTACCGTGTAAACAGCCACTGGACCAGCATCAGAAATGTTTCACATTCCTCCTCCCTGCTGCCCATTTCCACTTCCAGACACACACACCTCCACCCCCAAGTCTTTCCCCTCTTTTTCCTCTCCTCCCTCTCTTTCCAGTCTTGTGGCGTTCTAAGTTTACACAGCTTAACATGAGCTGAGGGGAGAAATATACATTAGTCCAGTTGTCTACAAGTCAAACAACCTCCAAGGCTTCTGTGGTGGTGACAATTCTGATTTAAGTTGAGATTTTACCTTGCTGATGATTTTACAGGCTGCTGCTTTACTGTCTGGACAGTACCAGTAGCTGCTCTTTTAAGTACAGATATCAGATATTCCCACAATTTAATTTTCCCTCCCAAAAACTAAATTACTTCTGAAACCCGCATATGTAACTTCAGCCAGACTTTAAAGAAATTAAAGCCTTCTCTTACCTCTGATTTTCATTGTGTGAGGGCAGCAGGTCTGGGGTTGGCTTGAACTTGAATCATCATAAGAGAAGCTTGCCCCTAAAGAGAATTAAAGGAGCCTGGAAGCAAACATTGTCAAAGGATTCCTCCTAGGCCACAAGGACACATCTTGAACATAGCTGAGCTACTTTATTACTAAATTGTTCCTCCAGAGACATCTTCTGTGTGTTGTATCTGAGACTTTCTCAGATCAAGAGGATGATCATGCTAACATTATCTAATTAGCACTAAACATGGAGTCCAGCTATAGCTGATGGACATGTCATTAGTTTCTCAAGTATGTGTCTTAAACCAAGTTCAGATACATCATCTGCGAACCATGAATGTCTGTACTAATTTTTGCTCCAATCCAGCAAGTAGATGATGGGATATTTCCCTGGATGAGTTTTGACCTGCTGGTGCTAGATAAAAGGTCAGAGGAAGTCATTAGGCTTAAACCTCTGGGGACCATGATTGCCTGTACCACATTTCATCCATCCAATATTTATTGATATATTTCCGTTTGGACCAAAGTGGTGTGCTGACCAACCTACTGACACTGCCATCCCTAGAGCAGTGTGTCTAAAAACATATAAAATTACATTACAGAAATATTTATTATACAGCACAGTCACGTGTTACAAGGATGCCGTCATAGCTACAACACGTTTGAATATAAACATAGCAAAAGACTGCAGTCACTGAAACAGAAAGTAAGCAATCATGGTTAAGGCATTCAGTCAAAAGTAAAACCAGATTCCTGAATTTCAACACCAGACATTTCTCACAGAGCTGGGTGGGCAGGACAGACATCCAGGGATGAGGTATAAATAGATGGAGACAGAAAGATAGAGAAGAGGAAAGTATGTGTGTCCCCGGCAGGTGGGCTCCATGTGGCCAGCCAGTGTCGATATATACTGCAAGGCCTCAAATTCAGCTTTCTCTGAAAACGATGCTTTCCTGGCCATCGCTCCATGTGTTCTCCATGTTCTCCAAGAATGACAGAGGCTGGAAGGATTGCACTGCAATAACTCCACTTTAACATACGCTGGTTTGGAAGAAAACTTCTGCGTCACTGAAATCTTACTAAGACTATTAATTCAATTCAATTCAAAATAGCTTTGTTGGCATGAATGTGTAAAAACAATATTGCCAAAGCATCATACATACAACATAAGAACAATCAACCCCATACATTTCATTAAACAAGTAATTAAAGCGTAAAGTAATCAAGGTGTATGTGTGTTTGTGTTAAAAAAAATGAAGAAATATTAAAAATTAAAATAAAATAAATAAATAAAACAGTAAGAGTAAGCAAGTGTGTGTGTGTGTGTGTGTGTGTTAAAAAAATTATTAAAAATATATTAAATATAAAATAAATAAATAAAACAGTAAGTGTGTGTGTGTGTGTGTGTGTGTGTGTTTAAAAAAATGAAAATATATTAAAAATAAAATAAAACAGTAAGCGTGTGTGTGTTTAAAAAATATTAAAAATAAAATAAATAAATAAAACAGTAAGCATGTGTGTGTGTGTGTGTGTGTTAAAAAATATATATTAAAAATAAAATAAATAAAACAATTAGCGTGTGTGTGTGTGTGTGTGTGTTAAAAAAATATATATTAAAAATTAAAATAAAATAAACAGTAAAGTGTGTGTGTATTAATAGACAAAAAATAGACAAAAAATTAAAAAAATGTAATTAATTGATTAAAAATAATAAAAAAAAAAAAGAAATCAGTATCAAATGTAAAAACTAAAGAATTACTAAAATATCAAACGATCAAAATAATAATAATTTGTACAATTACTTATCAGTCTGAGGTTCCATTGGTTGTCCGCATGAGGAGACATATTTTGCAGCAATTATTTCACATTTGGGCGTTTCTCCCAGTAAATAGGGGAGTTTCTGTGTGTCTGATATGAATTCGAATTCGGGGTATATTTGGGAAATGTGTTTTTCTCTTAGTGTTTTATATTTGGGGCATGAGGTAAGAAAGTGCAGCTCTTCCTCTACCTGTCCCCTGTCACACTGGGAGCAGAGTCTCTCCTCTTGTGGTAGCCAGCTCTTACTGTGGCGACCCTTTTGTTTGGCCAGGCTGTGTTCGCTCAGTCTGTATCTTGTCAACATTTTTCTTAGTTTGGGACATTTTATTGTACTCAGGTAATTTGCCGGTGTGAATTCTCTTTTTAGGGTCAGATAACATTGTAATTTACTTTGTGTTTTGGTCGTTTCTTTCCAGTATTCAATATATTTTCTTTCTGCTTGTTGATAATTTGGTTTGGTCTGCTTGAGTTGGTGTTGCTGTCCTGAGGCTGTTGGGGACTTGTTACTGCAGAGAGCCTCAGGACCAGCTGGCTGAGGGGACTACTCTGGTTTCAGCTCCTGGTATGTTAGGGCTTTGTGATGGTATGTCTGGGGGTTAACTGATTTTAAGTGATTGTAAAATTAAAGTGATCTTTTCTGTATTTTTAGTAAGAGGAGATATTGGCCGAGCTCTGCTCTGCACAGGTTATTTGGTGTCTTTCTCTGCACCTGCAGGATGCTCTTACAGAACTCAGTATGGAAAGATTCTATGATTGTTTTGTCCCATTTGTCAAATTCATTATTAAGTTTTGGCCCCCAGATTTCGCTACCATATAGAATTATTGTTTCTAGTACAAATTGGAAAATTGTAAGCCAGATTTCAATTATTATATATGTGTGTGTGTGTATATATACATATATATATTATATATATATATATATATATATATATATATATATATAGAGTTATATTTATTTATGTGCCTATGTCGCACACCATTTTGTATGACATCATTAAAAAGAGAAATGGAAATTGAAATAGTTTCTCTCAGCACCCCCAACTCAGACTAACTTCCAGTGTCCCTGTGAAAAAGCCTCTCTTGATGATTAAGATTTTGAGTATCCTAAATATACTTGGTGGGACACACTGAATGAATAGACTAGTTAGTCTAGCTTAATTATGCTTGATATATGAACAATTATTGTGTAGAACATTTAGCCAAGTCATAACAACAACAACTGCAGCCAGTATCAGTCATAGTAAAATCATACAGTATCTGCCAATTCAAACCAAGAGAGGCGGAGAAGGCTCAACACATTTTTCCAGAGCAGACAGATGTTGGAGAGCTCCCAGACAGTAAAGTATCACTCTTACTGACTGTGGACACTTTTGAAGAAAAAACCCATAATCCTGTACAATGACCCTCTTTCAGTTTGGGTGAATATGTTTTAGTATGTGATGGTATGTAGGAAAAGACCATTGGATTCCTTGTTGATTCACAAATGCAAAAACTGCAAGTCAAAGTAATGAAAATATTATTTGTCCTGTAAATGTTAGAAAAGAATCCAGTTATCTAAGTGTTAAAAGAAAGGAAAATCACTCCTCCAAATCTGTCACTGTGGAGCAAAAATGTTTAACACATGTTCAGAAAAGTTTTCCAACAACCCCAAAATACCACAGGCTTCATTCAGACTGTTGTAATGATACTCAGAGTAGCAGTGTTTAAATCACATTTACAGATGTGAAACCTTGCGATTCTGTCAGTTTAATTTGTAAGGATAGTTTAACAGGAATCAGAAAGTAACAAGTGCTGATTGAATATCCAGAGTCTGTCACATTAGTGATCAACAGTTTGTCTCTCTGTTAGTCCACCAAGTTGGCCTAGAGTGAAATATCTAAATAACTATTGGATGAATTGCAATGAAAATTTCTACAAGCATTCATGGTTCCCAAAGAACCTGACTTTTCCTCTAAGACCACCATGAGGTTGACAGTTGTGTGTTTTAGTGCCATATCTCAATGACTACTGAATGGATTGCCATGAATTGTTTATGTCCCATTCATATGATGAATTGTAATAACCCCTAATCCCCTTTCGTTCAACACCATCATCAGGTCAAATTATTAATTTGTCCAATACTGTGGTTAATGACAAAAAATACCTGCTACACATCAGCATTTTGCATTTTATTGTTAGCATGTTGGCATACTGATGCTAGCATTTAGCTCAAAGCACCCTGCTATACCCTTTTATATTTTTAGGTTTGTGCTTTTCTGAAAAGTATTTTTGTACCCCAATATTTCTGACCTCAGTAGACCCAGACAATATTCAAGTTTGCCAGTCCGTGGGTTTAGGTGGGGCCAGCTAGCTGTGACTGATTTGACTGTGACTCAGAACAAACAGGCTATGGGCTGTAACAGCCACAAATAATACTCATATTTGACACATGCATAACATGCAGAGCAGCTCCAAGTAAGTGCACTTGGTTATTGGTGTCTGAGGTTTTGGCTCCACGTCTTGCTGAAAATTTTCCAGTCATTGGCAGGTTGGCTCTGCCAGATCTGCAGGTATCCTTTCAGTGAAGAGGGCAGATTAGCTTTGACTGTTGGAAAAGTCAGATATCGCAAACAGCATGCAAGTGGTCCAGCTCTGCAGCCTTGAGTCAGGAAGCACATGTGAGTTGGTGTCTATTCATGATGTTGATGTACTGAGT